TTAAAGAGAACCTTTTAAGCAAGAAAATAATCAATGATCATACAAAGAAAGGATTTTTTCTTTAAAGGAAAGTTATTTAAATCAAAGGCATTAATTAAGAGATATTTCTACAAAGCAAGTTTCCAAAATAATTGTTGTTATTCAAAATTCAAAAAGGATTTTCGTGCATATCTTCTCACAAGGAATGTTTCCTTAAGAAAAATGATTTCCTTCAATCAAATAAAAAGAATATCTTTTAATACCTATAAGGAAATATTTTTGAATGATTTCCATGCAAGAGGACCGAAATATATATGGAGATCCGAGCTATTAAAGATAGTACATCAAGTCCTGATCTTGCCCATCTAAGAAGACCAATCTCAAAGGAAAGAATCTGTTGAGTATGTAGTTTTATTAATGACTAACTATGCAGGTGGAACTGCGGACGGAACCGCTCTCAGTTCCATACGGAACGGAAGACAAAATTATTCTTAATTGTATTCTGTGTGAACGGTTGATTTACATGGTGTATGATTTAATTAATATGTGCTTTCCTTATATGAGTGCTTATACTTTGTCAAGAATATTATTTTAAGCAAAAATATATTTTCATGCATGATTTATTATTATAGCTTATTATTTTATGGAAAGAATCCTTAATTGATTAGCTAGTTGATTGTGCATACCTATTTAACAAATATTCTCCTGCATATTATTTGAAATATGATCCGTTGCATGCTTGCATAGTTTAAGTGAATAAATAACTTCCCTTGATATGTATTGATATATATCTTTGTGGAATTATTACTAAATGGTTGATCACATAATATGCTCTATACCTTTTTGACTTGCTCATGGTATGCACGTATCCTCCTGCTCCCATATATATGGTTGACCAAGGACCATCATAATTAAGAGCTAGAAGATCCTTAAATAAAAGGAAAGCATTTTGAATTATTTCAAGGCAAGTTCCTCAACCATTCAAGGAAAGAAGTGTCTCAACGGATCCATTCCTAGTAGACTATATAATCGAGATCAAGAAGAAGAAGCAGGGTGTGCTTGACCGAGAAAATATCAAGAGAGATACTCGAGAGAAATACAAAGTTCAAGGCACCTGAAACTGCTCCCGGAGTTCTAGACAGAGTTCTTATTCTCTTCCTATATTGTAATTGGGTTATTGAGGATTAGCTAAGTGTAGCTTCCTCGGGTTGGGTAACGTGTGTTGTGAGAGCTTTGTTGTAAAGCTGAGAGGCTCTCTACCCGCAAGGTAGAGAAGCGTAACTCTTCCTAGAGAGGATAGAGTTGGGGTGGCTCAAGGGTAGACTAGGAGAGTTTCCCTTGTAATCATTCAAAGGCTTTTTAGTGAAGTTGTTAAAATTCCTCCGAGGGAGGTCGAGGTTTTTTAATCCCTTTGAGCCAAGGGATTTTTCCTCGTTAAATCCTTGTGCACTTTACTATTTCGCAATACCCTTCACCCCGCACTAGAACTGGGCGAAAAACTGCCACGGTTCCACACACACAATTCACCCCCCCTCTTGTGTTGCTAACCGTTTTCATCAAGCAAGGAGCATTATTGCTGGCGCACTAAGTTATGTGGAGGCATGGTGAAAAGCACAAGTTGTAGAGAATAGGCCACAACAACAAGGACAGCCACCTGGGAGCTTTGTGAATCTGGAGATGGAGAGGGTCAAAGTGAATATAGACAATGTAGCTAAAAAAAAGTTTTGACAATATTGGCATACGCTGGGTGGTGAGAAATAGTGAGGGTGCTGTTTAGCTGGAGGTGCAATCAACCAATCGGGGAATGTCCTCCAAGGAAGGCGGAGGCACTGTCAATGAGGGAAGAGCAAGTGAAAAAAGCACACAAAATGTACCGAGACTGTTTTTGTAAAACTTATCTTTTTGAATTTCCAAAATCCAAACACATGCCCCGTTTAAAATTTTCTTAGCTTTAAGCATTCAAAGTTTAAAGCTATAACCAGGGAACTTTAATTTTTTTTTTTTATGAGTAAGTGATGTGGGAGGTTAAATACCCTTTTTGCAAAAGAATAGCCGGAAGGCCAATAACTAAGAGAATTTATTCAACTGAGTTTGGCTGGAGATAGAAGTGCGATAGAAGCAAACCACATGGATATAACCATAAGGCTTGGAATAGCCCAATACTGCTTAGTTAAAAATGATTGTTATGTTTCAGTTTTTAAGAAAAAAAAGTTGAATAGTGTTCAAGTAACTACACGTCTAATTTTAAAAGCTAGAGTAAAACACACATAATTACCAAGAAAGGTACATGTTGGAATTTTTTAAATTTAATATGTTTGTCAGCATGATGTGTGTGGGGCGTGAGAGTATTTGCTATTGAGGTTGTTATGATATCTTTAATAGAAAAATTTGTTTGCAACGTGAAAACTATATCAAAATGTTCTTTATTCATAATATTTTCATAAAAGTAAAAATTTATATAAAAATGTTAATACAAATTATTATTCAAAATTTATCACCATTAATCAAGAAAAATCAATATGACATACCTTTTGATGAATACGAAGTATTCGTGAAAACTATACACTTTATAATTTATATAATTTATACATTTTATACTCTTATAAAAATATTTTAAATAAGGAACATTTTGATATAATTTTCATAGTGAGATTAATTTTGTATTAAAAAATATTCCGTATCCAAAGTTAATTATATTAAGAAATTTCAATTTGACGAACCTTTTTAAGACGGATGAAGGATATAAATTAAAACACAGGAAGCATATGCTGCACGTTGGTCACATCCATCTAGACATAATCAAGCCAGAGAAATAATACGTAGTACTACACAATGTTCAAGATCGATTTGATGCAATCCCGTGGAGGAAAGTCATGGGATGATGGTGGTTGTGGTGAAGTTGCCGGCATCCTCATTTCCTATTCTGCCTCCTCCATTAACTCTCTGCGTTTCCTCTATTCCAAGGACGGCGCGTTGAAGTTTTCGGAAGATCATGGCACACTTAGTGACAGCACACAGATGGTGAGTCAGTTCAGTTTTACACACTTCCCCAAAATGCCCAAACTATACATATTACGTACGTTTTCTCTAAAACAATACGGAGCAATAACTACTCCTTATTATTTTTGGGAAATTCTGTATATATGTACTTCCTATATATATATTAATGTATGGATGTTTCATAATATGGTAGTTTCCTTTAAAGATGGCAGCCATGCATTTTCTCTTATTAAAGAAAACAAAAGAAAAAGATAATACAGTACACATATTAGGAAAAAATACAACAGTTTTGAAGTTCTCGTGCAAAAACACGGGACTTTGGTTTAGAATATGAAAATACGGCATTTGGAAGGCCCTGTTCAGAGGATACTTTGTAAAAAGCAAAATATCATTTTAGTTTAAAGTTTATACGGAGTAACTTTTTTATTTGTACTTTTACTTTTACAAAGAAAAAATATAAGGAAATTAGCCTAAATATTAGTAAAAATGTTCTAAAATTTCAAAATAGTAATGTCATTTTATTTTTTTGAAATAGGAGAGGAGTAACTATTGCCATGTTTTGGCACGACCAAATTTGAAATATGGTAGTATATTCCAAACTTGACGGTATTAATCTTATTTAGAGAATAAAAACACGATAGTTCTATTGTAGAACTTTAAAACGTTTTTACCCTTATATATTCTGGAAATTAATCCAAAAATATATTAAAATTCTTGATTATAACCCCGCATTAATTAACTTTTTATGATTATTTTTCGTTTGGGGATATGTCTGGCGGAATGCAAGAGCTAAAACGTACAGTATGTATATTCTAATTATAATGAGGCTACAGATCAGACTAGACTACCCAACGGAGGTCCTCACCGAGGTGCACGGCTTTCGGTGCTCCACTCACGTGTCTGGTTATGGATTGGGTTCGATAACATTTGTGACGAACAAGGCCACATATGGACCCTTTGGGGTAAAGAGGTCGTCGCTCGACGACAGCGTATTCAAGTTCCAATTGGGCAGTGAAGCTGATTCCATTAATGGCTTTCACGGAACTGTCAACTATCATGGTCGCATCGATAGCATTGGTGTTTATCTACAGACAACAACTGCCCGCCCCGATCTCATGTCTTGGAAGATTGTGAAATAATAAAATGTTATATTAACATTATCTGTCTGTAAAATTATCTTTTGCTTCATTCACATGTGCGGGTATGCATGCATTCTATATTACGATGTTGTTCGATATAATTACAAACAAATTGCTCACATTATTCATAAATAAAGAGTTATGCGTGTTGCTTGTGATATTTACATAATAAGACGTGTTTTTCTATAAGCCTGTGCTCTCTCTAAGGATGTTTTTACATGGACTGTACTTTGCTGGTCTGGTCTGATCTGTTCTGGTCTGAACTAGTCTGGTCTAGTCTAATTTCTTTGTATTTTTATAACTATCCAAGTCTGGTCTGGGACGAATTACAGCCCAAGTAAAAACATCCTAAAACATTGTGCATGTTACCCCTTACTATACTATCCACGTGAGTACGTGCAGTGCCGGTCCTACTTAAACTCAGGCCTGAGTCGAGCTTCATAAAATGGGCTCCATACATAGTGTTTGTTTATCAAATAAATTCACTAAAATTGAATGATTAAATACCATAAAAACGCAATCTTTCATTGAAAGTCTTCCATTATCACACGACAAAGAATGTATTAAAAAAATACTTAAGTAAAACCTGTCGAACAGTTTTAGATACATAATTTAGTGGAATCCTCAATTATATAGTAGTAATTTTCTCTACAAATCAGACCTCGAACTAACTTAAAAAGTGCAAATCACCGGTTCCCTTATATAAGAGGTTATGTCTGACCGTCTCCATTTGGGGTGGTTTCCAGTGTAATTTTATGATGAAACTTTTTGAGCATCTTCTTGATTTTTTTTTTTTTTTTTTTTTTTTGAAATAATCATATCAATGTTATTTAAAATAAGTGAATAAAAAAGAAATAAGAGAAAAGTTCAGTACAAGGTCACCACAGGCTCAAAATGATTTTATTACAAGATTTGATTAATAGAAATGCAATTAAAAATCCAGATACTTCATTACTGAGGAAGCTTGTTTAGCTTACAATAAGCAAAATCCTTGTACTTTTTGGTCTTGTATTTTGCTGGATTCTTCTCGTCAATCAGCTTGGGAATAGGACCAACTTCAAATTCAGGTGGTGGCTCCAGGAAAACTGGCCAAGACATTCTTGCCTTTTCCTTGTTCACTGTCGTCCTGTGCAACACACTTTTGTATTTTCCATTGCTGAGGATCTCAATTTGGTCACCAATGTGGATGATAAGGGCATTTGGGATATACTTAACATTGTACCAATGTTCATCTTTGAAGACTTGGAGACCTTGGTTAAGTCTTCTTGATTAAGTCTAGTTTATCCATACCAAATTTCAGCTAAAAATTCAACCAATAAGGCAGTCAAATGATTTTCTGAAATATACTGCGCTGTTTAACTGCACAGTTATCTTCAAAATTTCATTTGACTGCCTTCCCGATTAAATTTTTTACTGAAATTTGATATAGGTAAATTAGACTTAATGAAGAAGATTCTCAAAAAAAAATCATCAAAAAATTACACCGGGAACCGCCCCAAGTGGCGACGCCCTTGGAAAATACATAGGTATAATAATAGTAATGTTTAAAAAATTATGGGCCCCTAATTTTTTCAATTTTTTGGGGCCCTAAGACTTGGGCCTCTCCAGCTTAACATAAGGCAAGGGCCTGAGTACGTGACCACGTCCATACAGGTATGAATATATCATTAATCCTCATCATTCCTATTTTTGGTCATTCTTGTTTTTATGTCATATACTCCCTCCCTACTCTATTTAAGTTCTCACTTTCAATTACTTTGACACAAATCTACACCAAAACAAATCTACACCAAAACAGTGCAAAACAATGTCAAATAGTGTACAAACAGTGCAATCCACAGTAAAGTCAAATTTATTTTTTTAATATGTGTGAAGTCAAAATGAGAACTTAAATAGGGTCCGGAGGTAGTATGTCTTTTATGTTTAATTTGGTCATATGCTGGTATGCTATTGAAGATAATATAAATATGGTAGATTCTATGGTATCTTTAAGGTACCATAACTTTGTCCATGTGGACCAATCAAAATGACGCAGTTGAATTATTTAAATCTAAATTAAAAATGATCTAATAGTGTGGACCAATCAAGTAAATGGTAGGTACGGTACCCCATTTTTTAAATGGGTACCGGTGTTGTCGCCTATAAATATGTGTATTTTGGGAAAACTGGTTAGCTTTAGTAACATAAACGTATTTTTCCAACTACGAATTCGTTCGAAGTGTGTATTCGATCCATAGCTACCTAGGTTTTCTTCTCCTTCATATAAGCGGCGCTGCATTATTAGAGTAAAAGCAATGTTGAACTTCAAGTGCAAGCTCCTCCACGCTGATTTGGCATTCCAGCCCAATCTGTCACATATCATAACTATTGCAGCGTTAATACTTTAACGTAACGTAGGTAGCTAATTTACTCATCATAGATTTTGATTCCAATATTTCTAATCAGAATCGTTACCGTCTAATTTATACTACGTACGTAACATTTATACCTAATTAGCTAACCTTTTATATTTATCAGATTTAAATATATATATCTAATCCTGACTTAATGCTTCTACTCTTATACAAGTATATGTGATTAATAATTATGGAGTATATCGTTATTCGATATAATTGAGCATCAATTTGTTCCAGTGTGTGCACACATTTTACTATTTTTTTTTCCAACACACATTTTACTTTGAAATCATACCGAGTATGACTCTTTTCATTACTCCATTTCTTCAAAAACAAATTGGACATATATATATATATATAGCGCATACATTAATTTTTTCAAAAATTAAAGAGGTTTAATTAAAGACCAATTAATATAGCAAAGTCAAATTACCCGTTATATTACTAAATTAAAGTCAAAGAATTGAGAATTGATCTTGAGTAATAGTAATAGTAATAATAATACCTTAATAACAAAGGTGTAGAGCACTGTGTCATCGATGCTACTGATGTTCAATTGAAGGATCTCAAAGGAAAACGTCTCCAAGACATTGATTATTGTAAGGATTTGGCCCCGAACTCGACGAGAAATGGTCTTCAGAATAACATTAGAGCCCGATATCCTGGCCTCAACGTCGGCTACCGGAGAGTTGCAACATGCCCCGACCTCGTTGAATTCGCAACCACTGTTCGTATTTACATCCATCATGCAGTTGCTGGAAGATGATGTTTCGAGGTGCTGGGTAGGAGTAATGCGCGGCCGGTCCGGGCTTAAACTGTGTATCCTTCGTTTCTTGGCCTCCATTGATTGTTGAACTTGCTGCAATTCCTTGATGAACTCAATTACTCCCCCTACTATTGATGCTTGATCTCCCTATCATAAACTTGGTAAAATAATTGACTGCACATAATTGTTTTTCATATTTTCGTGAAATTAAGGTTATAGAGTAAAATATATTTAATCGAATTGGTAAAATGGTGCAGTTACATTATATGGAGTGTTTGGAACTGATTTTACTTCTGCTTCTTTTTTAATTAAAGCAAAAGCAGAATCCACACTTTTCAGAAGCTGGTGCCCCTTAGTTTTTAAAAAACTGATTCCGGGAGTAAATCAGAGCATCAGATCGAATCATTTTTACACTTTCACCCAAACACTCTAACTTCTGCTTCTGATCTACTCTCTGAAGGAGCAGAAGCAGTTTTAAGAATCAGATCCAAACACCCCGTGAAACATTTTAAATGTATTAAAGTACCAATGTAATTTAATTTATTTTACTCAATGGTTGAGGTATCAAAATTCAATTCATTATCACTCTGTAACACTTAACCCTATTGCAAGACGGATTCAATCGAACTAAACTGAGAGATGGTGTAATCGTCTAGGTACTATACATGACAAAGAAGTTTAAGAGTTTATTTGATAATACAAAAATTGGCTGAATCGACTGATTTTACTGAAATTTATGAAGTTTTAGCTAAAGTGGCTGGATTAGCTAACTTTGCTAATTTATAAAGAAATTATATCTAAAATATATTTTAGATATAAAATAAAGAAAAAATAATTCTCTATAGTAATTCAGAGCGCGAAATTAAAAGTTACTTGTCATTGAAAAACATGACCGATATGTCTGATAAACCGGAAAATAGGGTCACCAAACCGCTCTAAAAGTTGGATGGAGCTCAGTTATAATGAGAAAACTCATCATACTTAAAGGATTATTAAACAAACATTATTAGGTGGAGTGGGTAATTATAACTTTATAAGTACGTACGTACCCTTTGGATGTAGGAAGAAGGGGTTAAGGAACGCAAAATGTTGAGCTGATCATTCATCTGCCGTCTCCGCTTTCTCTCCACACCAATGTGAGACATTTTTTATGTACGATAATTATGATTATAATTCCTTGTAAACGCATATACATAAATTCAAAACGTACAGAAGCCTATATATGGATGATGACGTACGTTTATATATAGAAAGACGTAATGGATATATAGTGAATGAAATGCATGAGCATCCCAAGTATAGTTAAATGATCTGATCCACTACTTACACGCTCACAACTTTATGCCCTTTCTTCATAAAATAAAATTAATACATACATGTAGTTAATTAATTAATGAACTCACATGTAATAGCTGTTATAATGGGCGTAGGAGCTAAGCAGAGGCGGACCCACTAAGGGTCCCACGGGGTCCCGGGACCCGTGGACTTCAAAAAAATTACCTATATATTATATATATTTTATATAAAATTATCTAGGAAATGTATATATAAAATAACAACGACTAGGCAAGCAAAAGATTGTAGTAGTCGAATGGTAGGAAATGCGGGTTAGGGGCTTTCAACCTCACTTGAGGTTCCAAGTTCGATTCCCAGTTGCTTCTCTTTTCTTTTACCTCCCATGTTTTTAATTGTTTCTTTTTTAATTTGCATATCTTTTGTTTGGGTTTAATTAAAAAGCTTTCATTAAATGTTAAGATTAAATTAATACTACGTACTACCTTCGTTCTCTTTTAGTTGCAACATTGAACCTTTTGCACTATTCATATATTCTACTTTGACTATATTTCATTTATTAATGTATTATAAACTGAATTTTTTAAAAATATTGTTAAATTCTTCTCATTCTAAAATTTCAAAATATAATTTTTTTAATTTTTTTTACTAATAAGGAATAAAAAAATATTAATGGTCAAACTTGTGTGTTGACAAACGTGAAATGTTGACTGTTGCAATTAAAGGGGAGCGGGGGAAGTATATTTGTATTTATAAACGTTATTTTCAATATTATATGAATTAGGATGAAAAAATATTTCGGTATTGTACTGAGAGTTAAGGAAATTCAGAGTTCGATAGTAGTTCAGATATCTATTCAAATGATTTGTTATTAGTAAATGAAGAATTGAATCAGGTAATTGCTGAAAGTGCAGCTAATTTAACTGATAATCTACCTGAACAACATGTTGATTTAGTATCTTTTGGAAGCTGATCCTGTAATTTTTTGCTTTATGCTCCCTCTGGTTCTTAATTAACTTGACACTTTGACTTCACACAGATTAACAAATTTTACTGTAAAGTGCACTGTTTGCACTGTTTTGGTGTAGAAAAAGAAGTGTGAAGTTTTATATGGGATGGCCTAAAAAGAAAAGTGTAAAGTTAATTAAGGACCGGAGGGAGTAATATTTTAATGTTTTGATGATGTAAGTTAACTATGAAGTGCTATGCTAACTTCTTTAATACTCCGTATTTTTTTAATAGTTTTTTATTAATTAGAGATACGCAAGGGTAGGGACCCCGTGCCTCCGACTTTCTGGGTCCGCCACTGGAGCTAAGTAAGCTAGGGCATGTCGCGAACTCCTGTCCAATCCAAATTTTGTAAAAAATTTAATCCTATGGTACAAATTAAATTGAGTAAAGTAATACTCTATCCATATTTTATTCTTGTTCATTGTTACAATAGGGACTGACACAATATTTAAAGGGAAAAAATTTATGAATAGTGTAAAAGACTAAAAGAAGTAACAGAAAGTGAAAACGTACAAAGGAGAATATCAAACAGTCTAAAAGCTAGGCTAGATAACAATAATTAAGTACTTATTATAAAAATGAAACTTATCAAAACGAGAAAGTATAATAAAATTAAAAGTAATAGAAAATTGTAACAAATGAAATAATTAGGAGTAGTTTATATATATATACCGTATAACAGCTTTTTACCCGCTCACCTTAAGAGTTGTTCACGGTACACCACTACTTGCTTGAGTTGCTTCTATCAATTAATAGTGACCCTAATATTAATTGTAGAATTCTCAGACATAAATATATATGACTGTTGTTATTATGGACAAAAAAGTGATTAGATGATATTTAATAGAGATATTACCTGAAATAGGACTAAAAAGGTTTGAAAATTCCAAAATAAGACTTTCATGTTTTTATTCCCAAAATAGGACTAACTACTGCCATGTTTTGGCAGTATCAGACTTCAAACATGCCAGTATTTTCCAAACTTGACAGTAATTACTCCTATTTTGGGAATAAAAATATGACAGTCCTATTTTGGAATTTTTAAACGGTTTTAGTGCTATTTCGAGAACTTTCCCTATTTAATACTCTAACCTAAATAAAAATTCAAATAACAATCTGTCACGCAGTCAAGCAACCCAAATTAAAACTCACGCTACCCATACAGAATATCTAAATTAGTCACGAAGGAGCACCCGATCTGGGAGCTCTAGATATACCGGTGCCACGCATATCCCGCCGTCGCCGCCTATTGTCATCACCTGTCGCTAGTCCCGCTACCTTGGTATCCCACCATTGTCGTCTATTGCCATGCACTAGTCTCCCATCGTGAATCTACCCTTTACATGAATGAATTTTTGTAATCACCTGTCGCTGTTTGGATCAAATTGAACACAGATGCAGCGATTTGCACTAACAGTGAACGTTGTGGCTTCGGGTGGATTGCCATGAGTTCAGATGGCCGCATCTGCTTCTCATCCATGGCCTGGCACTTCTTAGGTTAAAGAGCTAGAGGGAGTAGCGGTAAGCGAGGCGTCGGCTTGGTCTCAATCACATAAATGGGAGAAAATTGTTGTGGAAACCGATGTGCTCAAGTGGTTTTGGTTTAACTAAAGAAGCTTGAAATTCTTATTTTAATCTTATTCTAGATGATATTAGAGTCATGATCGCGTCCTATGCGAATATTAATGTCTCACATGTTAAACGATCCGCGAATCGTGTAGCTCACAAATTTGCTAAGTTGCCTTTTCTTTGTCTCATTGTAGGGTATGCTTGGGTATACCTCCTTCAAATATTGTAAGCCTTCTGGCTAATGATTTACTTCATTAATATATGATCCCTATTTTTCGTAAAAAAAAAAACTAAAAAGTACTACATAGTTTTTATAAATTTATTGGGCATTAGGCATTTACTCAGATCAATCGCGCGTTTAGCGCAACACGCGACACAAAAAGTAGTTCATAAATAAAGCCCTATTTGGGATTACATGAAGAGGGTAAAATATGAGTTGAAGAGTGAGTACATATTACTCCTATTGTGAGAATAAAAAAGTAGGTAGTATAACCTCATTTTTTGCATGTTCAAGTTTATTTGTTATTATAATAAAGTAGATTCTATGGTACCCTTAAGGTACCATACCTTTGTCCATATGGACAAATAGAAGTGATGCAGTTGAATTAATTAAATCTAAATTAAAGGGAATAGAATAATTTGAACCAATCAAATGCATGATAGATGCGATAGCCCAATTTTTAAAAGGATCCCCTCATAATAAATGAATTAGTGTGTCACATAATAATAAGTGAACACAAGCATGTTGTGCATGAGCTATTGGTCTGCATTTCTTGCTTAGTTAATTAACTACAACAATGAATTGAATACTCCAACGCCAAATTGCACGAGAATGCCGCCAAAGGAATTAGAATGTGCGCATATGTTTAAATCACATTTTGCCACTCGGTGCCTTGTCTTCTGCTCCATTTTAGACTCCATTTTAGACTGTTTTTGCTCTCATATTACACCACATCCAGATTAAACTAGATCAGACTTAAATAGATCAGACCAGGTCAGACCAGACTAAACTTAAACAGACCAGAAAGATTAGAGCAGACTTGGACAGTTATAAAATACACAAGGACTAGACATTTATCAGATCAGATCAGATCAAACCATATCAGACTTAAACAAACCAGATTAGATCAGACCATATCAGACTAGATCAGCAAATTTCTGTCCACAAAAAAACATTCTTAATTAGGATCGGTCCTAATGGTTTGAACACTACAAAAAACTATGATGTTGACAGAGACTTTTTGCAGGTATTTCCCAAAATTGACAGGGGTTTTGGAAAGGATATGACACACTCGTGCCAAAAAAAGTTTGGGACGAGCTATTTGGCACAATATCGTCAATAAATCCATGTCAAATCCGTGTTAATCCCGTAAGTTTTTGTAGTGAAAAGTGTAAGTGCAGGTAATAATCTACAATGACTTACTTTAAAAGAATCATAAAATCCTTTTTATCTACCTTAAAATGAATAATAACAACATTTCATAGAATTAAAGTAGGATGATAGTTACTAAATAATTTCTAAAGAACAAATGAAATACTCCCTCTGTCCCCCTTATATTGTCTCGTTTTACCTTTTCGGGAAGTCTTACAAAAATTGTCTCATATCATATTTGGTAAAGTTTGTGTGGCTCAAAATCATTCTTACTTTATTCTTACTTTATCAATTAATATCAACCACACAAACCCACTTTTCTTAAAAATCGTGTCACCCTCTTCCGTCCCAACATAAAAGGGGCGGAGGTAGTATCACTTAAATGAGTTTCATACGAAGTACTACGTATTATGAAGAGAATCATCAACGATAGTTTGATAGTCTTGTTTTAACACGTATGTTTATTGCTAAACATTGTTAATTTGTTAAGTTTTTTTGAGACATTGTTGATCTCAAATAATTTTTGAAAACTTTTTTCATTGAACCATGTTAAGCGTGGGCGGCTTTCTTTGACATTCTCTGCTTTTTTTCCTTTTCTCTCATCGAGGTTCAACCATTTCTCATGAGCGCGCGTGAGTGATAGAGTATATAGATCACTTTATCTTTCTAGCTCTCCCTTCTCTCTATATTAAATAATTTATCAGTGAGTATAGAGTGTAGACAATTCTTGGTGCATGTATGAACAGTGAAGTGAGTCACATATTTACTTGTAAAATATTTCATATACGTTTCAATTGTATAATACAAAGTGATATTATCAAATTCAGTCTTTATATTGCGAGGTTGTGAGTTATATGACCTCGTGATCTTGGGAAAGAGTAGGACGCTTGTTTAATTTTTTCAATACAAACGGACTCGTACTACAAAATAAAATGTTATACAAATATAATTGATCCTTATTTGTGAAAGTAATAATTTGTGGGAGTCATAAATGAGAAAATAGAGATTTACAAAATAAGATCGGGTGGTTTAAACATTCATAAATAGAGTTTTTTATTCGTGATTGGACAAAAACATCTTAATAAGGTTGGAGTTGATGGCCCTACTGCCCAAGACGCCGGAATGCCGCCAAATCGCTTGGAATTAGAGTTTTTTTTCTAGAATGCCTGTGTCATTCTGCTAGTTTTCCGTCATCATCCGACTCCGAAGTAATAGCCTAATATATTTAGGAATCTTCCTAATATATATTTAGAAATTTGCCTAATATATATTTAGGAATACTTTGTATTTTGACAACTTTTCTATTATAAATATATCTGTTAGGTCTCCTATTGGAGTACCACTTCCCATTATTTCACATGGTATCAAGAGCTTAGGTTTTTAGATACAATTTTTTTTCTTTTTTTTTTCTCGGTTCCCATATATGAACTCTAGTACAGCCACCGCAGCCTCGGGGTCAACTGTCGTCACATCTATGGCAGTTTCTGATCCTTTGAGGATGGCGCAGCTGATATGGCACAGTTCACCTTTTCTGCGTCGCTGACCACGGTGCTTGCTTCCAGTGTGCCGTTGAGTTCGCCGCCTGTTGGTGCCTATGTCCGCACAACCCACCTTCTCTGCGTCGCTGACCACGGTGCTTGCTTCCACCTCGGCGTTGAGTTCGCCGCTTGCTGCTGCTGACATTGATTCTTTAGATATATTTACTACATAGTAAAAGTTTTTTTTTAGTTTGCAATTTCATTTTTAAAAGACAACATGCGCGTTGTATCTCCCGCACAGTTTGAGGGGGTGTAATAGCTTAATATATTTAGGAATCTTCCTAATATATATTTAGGAATCTGCCTAATATATATTTAGGAATACTTTGTATTTTGACAACTCTTCTATTATAAATATATCTGTTAGGTCTCATATTGGAGTACCCCTTCCCATTATTTCACACGAAGTTCGCCGTTGCCGGAGTCAACTATGAACTGATTCAGCGATTAATAGACTGATTTGATTATGCAAGGGAAATAGGTTCCATTTAATTAATTAATACTCCCTCTGATTTAAAAACAAGTTCCACTACGGTTTACGATGTTTGACTGATGATAAAGCAACTTGATCCCTATTCACATTCATATTATCTTTAGTAAACAAAAATTATATATTAAGAAACTACATCAAAACTGTTACAAAGTCTGATCAAGTAAATTTCAATTTGATAAAAATTTGATATATATAATAAAAGATTATGAGCCCGTTTGGAGAACTCTGTTTTCGGCTTATCAGGCTTATCAGCCAGCTTTTTCACCAAACACGTAACTTTTACTTTCGCGCGCTGAATTGTGTAATAAGCCGAAAAAGTAAGGTTGGAGTTACTTTTCTGGCTGTATTGGCTGAAGTTACTGTAGAAGACCATTTTAGCTATTTTTACATATAATTTTTTCTTTAATTTATTAATAAAATATATTTTTAAAATATTTTTTTCTTAAATCAGCAGAATCAGCCAAAACAGCCACTCCAGCCAGAATATCATAAATTTCAGCAGAATCAGCCAAAACAGCCGATTTTGGTGCTACCAAACGAGCTCTATAAGTAACTGCCCCATGAATAGTAAAAGGAAACTCGTTTTTGAATCGGATGGACTGTTTTATTTATTTATTACGAGTACTAGTAAAATGAAATGATTAGTTCTGCAATTTTTCTCATGACAAAACGGGGATATCCGATTACAAAGATGGAATCTCCGAATCTCTCCTACTCAGCAACAGCATATGCCTTATCCACTTTGTCCTTTTTTACTCGTACCATCCTTTTCTCCTCTTTCTTATCTGAGTTGTCAATAAATATTAATGGGCCGTGGCGACACTCCGCCGTACGCGAAATTAACATTCCGGGTTTCCACATCCCATATCCCCATTCCGCAACAACCCTATCTCTGTTTCCTCTCTGGTTTTGCTTCTTCCATGGCTTACATTTTTCGTCTTCTCGCCCTCTACACCACACTCATCACTTTCATGGCTGGCCTTTCTCTTGCTCAGAGACCCTTTTTCCCAAGGGCCATTATTCTTCCAGTCACCAAAGACTTGCCCACTTCACAGTATGTAACTCAAATTCAAATCGGTCATAGTAATAATTTTGATCCGCTGAAACTAGTTGTTGATCTCGGAGGGCCGTTTCTCTGGGCCGATTCTGCTTCTTCATCTCAGGGTTCCATTCCTTGTGGGTCGCTCAAGTGCTCCATGGCTAATCCGAGTGGAGGATGCACCAGCAAAGAGATCTGCGGGCTTTTGTTTGAAAATCCCATCTCGAAAATGGCTGGATCTGGAATTCTGAAAGAAGACTCCATAGCTTTGGAGTTCATAGCAGATGAGCCAAAGGCGTCTTCTTTTCTGTCTTATGTTCCTGATTTCTTGTTTTCTTCTGTCCCGAGTTTGTTTTTGCAAGGTCTGGGTAGTGGCGTGAATGGCGTTTTGGGCCTTGGGAATTCCAGGGTTTCTCTGACATCCCAGCTTGCAAACGCCTATGGTGGAATTCCCAGAAAGTTCTCCCTCTGTTTGTCCTCTTCTAATGGCGCCATCATCTCCGGTGACATTCTTCAACACAATGATGATGTTTCAAGGTCTATGGTGTATACCCCCTTGGTTTCCGGCCAAAATGGTCTAGAGTATTACATCAATGTGAAATCAATTAAGATCAATGATAAAAGGTTGGACCTGAATGGATCTTTGCTGTTCTTGGATGAAGAAGGTGTCGGTGGAGGGACAAAGATCAGCACAGTGGTGCCTTACACAACCATGAAGACCAAGATTTACAATGAGTTTCTTGAGTCCTTTTTAGAAGCTGCTGCTGCCTCCAAGTTGACTAGGGTACACTCAGTGGGGCCATTTGAGGTGTGTTTTAAGGATGTTGTTGGTTGGGATGCTCCAAAGGTTGAGTTTGTGTTGCAGAGTGAGATGGTGAAGTGGAGGATAATGAATGCAATGGTGAAGATGAGTAGTGATGATGGGGTGATGTGTTTGGGGATCTTGGATGGTGGGCAGGCTCAGATTGCTTCCATTGTGATTGGAGGATACCAATTGGAAGATAATTTGTTGGACTTCAATTTGGGCACTTCTATGCTTGGGTTCACTCCTCTTATGCCAGAAACAACTTGTTCACACTTCTCAGGATTATTCAGAGATGACAGAGGATCAGTTTGAATGCTGCACATTTTTGGAAGAGATTAATTATTTCTTAACTACGAGACTATATATTATTTATAAATTGCAAGTAACATTCCACGCAATTACGAATCTATGTATACATAATACATTATTGTTGTAATTAGCAGCAGATCTTTTTCTGGACTATGATAGAGTGATAAACATGTCATTGTACTAATTAAGTAATTATAACCTACTCTGTATCATTTCTGGCTTTTACAAAAAAAAAGAATGACACCTCATCCTTAAGGACCCAACACTGACCGGACGGCATGATGGGAGGATGTAAATTGGATTATAATCACAATCTGACAGATAGAGAGTCAGGCTCTGTCCCCGGTATGGATCTTTGTTGTTCGTGAGTATGTGAAATATATATTATTATAAACCCAAATATGGATCTTTGTTGTTCGTGGATGGGTTTGATCTTTGCATATTTTTGTTGAACTTTTTATTTGCGTTTTCTGCTAACTTTTAAGACTAGAACCGAGGATGGAATTTGTTGTCTTCTGTAAATGCTAATAAAAAGTATTATTGTGAGTTAGTAACTATTCATGATTATATTGTGTATTTGTGTTCAACATTAACATCATAGTGAGTTAGTGACTGATAGCAAATATTAGTCACTATGATGTAAACATTCAACACAATTAGGTCATGTTTATGTCCACCACTTTTTATAATAATACGTAGTAATAAAGAAATTTTTTCTTGTTCATAATCTAGTGTTGTACTAAAATAATGTTAATTTAATGATCAATTATTCATGATATTGTGTGGGCATCTTTGGGGGCAGGGGTGGGGCCGTAGGACCAAAAAATCAGAAAAATTTAGGCCCAAATTTATTTTCTTATAATAAGTGTAAGAGAGTTTCTATTCACAGTCACAAATTTACTAATTACATCCACGGAGCCACCTAATTAAATATAAATATAACAACAACATCCAAGCTTTAGTCCCAAAAGATATTGGGGTCGGCTAACATGAATTGATACATGATATCACCACCAAAAGGAAAAAAAATAAAAATAAAAAAGATAAGCTATTATAAAAAGAGATAAATACACCAAAAAATGATAAAAGAAAAGAAAATTTGAGGCTCTCTCCTCCTGGGGAGTGGGGGTGAGTGATTCTAGTTCTTAGACTCTCTCCTCCTCTTTATCTCTTCGTATTACCCACTCTTTTTCTAAACCGTATGATTCAATTGAATTTATCTTTAGATTTTAGTCAATACAATAGTTAAATTACTAACTCTTAAATAGACTTAAGGGTTAAAGCATACAAGGATTAAGGGTTAAAGCATACAAGGAATAAACTGATAAAGCAGCCTGGGTGAGCTTGTGATTCTGTGGAAGGAATACAAAAATCTGGTTAGGCATTTTGACTTTTTAATATGGAATATTTGACTATTTGAGGTAAATTCCTAAATGGCTAAATATGATTGAAGTGAAGGTGTAGCGCGTAAAGTTAAAAATGCTTAACTTATGATTATTAATGATTTGGATTAATATAAAAATTAATTATATTGGATATATTGCCATATAGGTGTTGGTGTATTGTATGAATTGGATGATAATTACATGAAACACTATTAGCTTGTGCTAATTGAATAGTGAGTGTAGTTTGATGGCATGGATTGTTTGATTTGTTATTGTTACAAATAATTGTCTTGATAAGTTTGATCTTTTTACAATGATGTTCTTATCAATTTCGCACTTCAAAAGCTAAGATGAATAGCCCAATAAAGTGTTTCAAAATATAAGCTTGCAGTGTTTTTACATATGTTGTCATTTTTTTTTACGTATGTTGTCATTTATAAACTTATTGTTTTGACATTCACATTATATGGTGCACGTTGAATATGCCTTTTCATATGATGTTTGTGTACAATTTAATTCATTTTTATTATGATATGTGCATAGTAAAAGAAAAATTGCCTAGGGCCTCCAAAATGTTGGAGCCGCCCCTGGTATTACCCCTCTGTCCCGCTAACAATGAGACAAAAGGGAGTGACACACAAACTAATAAAAAGTGGTTTATGTGGTTGATATTGAATTGATAAAGTAAGAATAAAGTAAAAATAATTTAGAGCCACACAACTTTACCAAATTTGTTATAGAACAATCTTAGTAGGTTGGACCGAAATGGTAAAACAGGACAATCTTAGTGGGACGGAGGTACTAATATATATTTATAAATTGTTGTGTAGAAATGTTATTATAATAATGAAAGTCGAAATGATAAGAAAATCTATAATGGCGAGATGGAAGAAGATTAGATGTGGTTGGGTGGAGCGACCCTATCAACCTGGGTTCGATTATCTAGAGAGCATTCCGAGTGTACTTTGCAAAGTTTCTCAAATTTGCAATGGAGAGCATGGTTGTTGGTGTTTATAGCCACCTTATAGGCTTATACCCATCTAATCTCAGTTTTCTTTCATCAAATATCTTCATCACTTTTGTCCAATGTTATACACGTGAAAAAAATTGTTAAATATATATTACCTCTGTTTTAGTCCAATGTTATTAAATCCTATTTCGATGATAAGCATGGGGCCTCCTTTTTCCGAGACACCGGTTGAACATAGTTCGGATTTGGGAGGAAGCTTGAAACGGAACTGTCTTTTTTTTGCCGGCTGTCATTCTCTGAAATGGAACTATCTGGAATCCTAATAATTCTTGGAATGACCTACGATCTCTTGGCAGTGTTATGTTTGGACGATTATTCTCTGGGCCTCCTTGGGCGAATTAGGCCCACCTTAGCTTTTTGCTGTCTACATTCCCTTTTCTAATTTCTTCAGACCGGTTTATCTCCAATGTAATTTGTTTTCATTCCATTAATGTAACACAAACGGATGTTTTAATAAATTAGGTAAATGTTCCCCGACATTTACCCCATCGAAATGATGGATTCTCGGGATAGAAAAATGTATTAGTCCACTTTTCACGTTTAATGATGCACAACTTTGACCACTGATACATATTATTATCTATCACAAAAAAACTTCACATAAAATTTTGAAATTTACAATTACATAATTCTAACAGTATTTTTTTAAAATATAGTCAAAATAAAACATGTGAATAGTGTAAAAATTCAACATGTATGATTTATTTAAGAAAGAGGGTAATATTATTTAACGGAGTACTATATTTGGACATTTTTTTCAATATACATTATTGAATTGATACATTAATAATAAAATGTAGTCAATATAAAACATGTGAATAGTGTAAAAATTCAACATATTTCATTTATTTAAGAAATCAGGTAATATTATTTAATGGAATACTATATTTTGACATTTGTTTCAATATGACAATATGCATTATTGAATTGAATTTGGCCCCACCTGAATGTCAATGTTAGATCCGCCTCTGGTCATCAAGTGACAATTTTTCTGAAACCAGTCTTTTATTGTGCACTAATTGCTCTAACTCTGAAAATTGTAAGTTTTGGATTATTTCTATATTAAAACATCTGAAGATATAAAAACACTACTTTTTGAATTTTCTGAAAGAAAAAAAAACACTACTTTAGTAGTTTAGTGGTTAAGAAGTAGGACAAGGAAGAAGCATGTAAGTTGAGTCAGAATGCTCATTACCACTTACAAGTCTAGAAATTACACTTTGAAAGTGGTTAAGTAGCTAGGACAAGGAAGAAGCATGTAAGTTGAGTCAGAATGCTCATTACCACTTTACAAGTGCATAAATTACACTTTGGAAACGGTTTGTCACATACTCTCTCCGTCCCACTAAGAATGAGACATTGCGAAATGACCATAAAGCAAACAGATCTTTGTCTGCACTCAAAATATTTTTAGAAAAAAATTACATATTCAAAAACTATATTAAAAGCTTTACAAAGCCGCAAAACCACAATCAAATTTGATAAAAATTTGATTTATAAAGTAAGAGATTAGGAATAATTTATGTTGATCAAATGAATAGAAACCAGAACATTGCGACTTAGAGGGAGTAGTTGTAAAGCCATAAATCATTCTCTTGCAACATTGGGGGTAAGAGTGAATTCTGTAGGATAATTATATGGCATAGGATTGCCATTATTGTGATTATTATAAGGCTGTACCTCTTGTATCTTTATCTTTTTATATATAACATAAAGTAAAAGAGTTGGAGCAAGAATTGGAGGGAAAATTCCCGCCCAAAATAATGGCAAAATAAAGAATTAATGAGAAAAGCAAATTTGGTAATTAATTGTATTAAGTAAATGATAGGAAAGAAATATGTTAATACGTTAATGGATCCTATGACCCATATAAATGCTAGAGCTAAACTAATACGGTGATGTTAATTATGTCAATTCATATTGTGAATTGATTTTATGACAATACGAATGGTAGTACGTAAATTGTACGGAGTATTAAATTTGGTAAATTAAGCTAGAGCCGTTTTAATACGTCAATTGATTCTATGACAATATAAATGCTTAGTAGGGAGCAATTGGTATCAAATGGAAAATAATAAAAAGTTATTTATTTTAATACTCCGTATTTTTTAATACCAACCGGAGTACAAATAAAAAGGTTATATCACTTTAAAACATGTTTTTTAAGTGTTAAATTATTTTTTTATTTTTATAAATTCAATATTGGTGTCATATGAAAGAAAATGAAAAGTTGTGTATCTTGATATATATTTTGTAGCAATGAGAATACAAATTGAAAAGTTATAGCGCTCCAAAACAAACATGAGATTTTATTTTGGTGGAGCTCCTAAATGATTTTCTCTCTTCGGCTTGCATTGTTACATCGTTGTTTTTTAACTGGGTTCATCCCATGAGTATTTTAGGGAACACTTTTAACCTCACACTAATTTGGTAAATATTTTTTTATTTAGCATTTCTTAAAAAAATTATTGACCAAGCCGAACCTTTTGTTTTACTAAATTGTCAAATGGTATTTTTTTGAAATTATTACTTCTAACACCACTAAAAGACCCTTATTTTATGGTTCAATTGCTCAAAATAAGTTTAAAAGAACATTCACTCTTATATATGTGTTTTTATTTCATTTATGAAAATTAATTAACTACTTAATTATTGGGAGAGATGTAATTTTATTTAATCTATAGAACCATGTTTTCTTTCGTACATCAGAAGGGAATTTATAGAAGAATCTAAAAGTCGATTCAATGTCTTCTGTTTTGGGCTCATGAACCTTAGTAGCTAAATTTTCATGAAACATGTAACTTTTATCATTATGAAAATTAATTAACTAATTAATTATTGGAAAACGTAACTTTGTTTAAATTATAGAACCGTGTTTTCTTTTATACTCGCTCGGTCCCACAAAACTTGGTCACAGTTGACTTGCACGTAGATGAATAAAGTAAACACCGTGTGGTTGAGATTTGTGCAGATGAGAGAGAATTAACTTTAGCCAGGGGCGGATCCAGCTTAAGGCCAGGGTGGGCCTAGGCCCATGCTCAAAAAAAAATTACTAGTATATATATGTATATGTTAGTATATT